GGGGGGGGGGGGGGGAAGAGGTAGTGCTAGAGACAAGGTATAACGACCCTGAGAGATGAGACCTCTTTTTGGAAGCTCACTCACCTCAGACTCTCAACCCTGGGGCGACGTCTGCGGCGAAATGTCTGTGTCACCGTCGCCCGAGCCCGGTTCGCCCTTCGTCTTGTTCTCCTTCTTCCACTTCATTCGCCTGTTTTGGAACCAAATTTTGATTTGTCGCTCCGTCAGACAGAGGGCATGAGCTATCTCGATGCGCCGCCGCCTGGTCAGATATCTATTGAAGTGGAACTCCTTTTCGAGCTCTAAGGTCTGGTACCGGGTGTAGGTCTGTCGACCCCGTTTCCTCTCTGCAACAGAAGTGAAGAAGGCAAAAATAACATTAGTACGGTACCTTTAGATCGGTAGCCTTTGGGCTGAATGTACTTTTTACGTATTACATTGTGTATATACATCATGAAATACTGTACAATGTGACCAAGCGTTAAGTGTCATTGGATGACACTACGGTGTGGTATACCCCCGTTCGAAAGATACTCATGGAGTATCTCATGAATGATTCTCGAGTTTATACGTCTCTTGAAAAATCTGTTTTATCGGTCTTTCGTTCCTAGTGTTTATTGTTTATCCTAGATTGCTTGGCAAGAGTCTAAGAAGAGTTTATTTTCCAACGGGAAGCCCAATGAACGGGCTGGCGTTGAGGGCCAATGATTTAGACCGTTATAGCCCGTATACCTAATACTGATCTCGCGGTAGTGTCATACAGGCTTACGATAATGCAATCGAGTATTTCCTATATCTAGGTACTGAACGAATTCGCATGACGTTAGGTACCAAGACAAGTCCCCAGCACGAGGGTTAGCTCAGTTCGTTGTATGATGGATAACTCCTGGCTATCCAGGACGCGATCTTCAGTCGGCGTACACACGAATCCCAATGGGGGATATTAATTGCGCTTGCCGAGAGTGTGGCGAGCACTTGGCGAGCCATGCTGAGGTATAATCTCGAAAGGTTAGGTTAGGAGAGGCACGAGTGCGCAAAGTGGTATGGCAGGAGAAATATTTTTAAGATGGTGTGGGGTAGGAGGAAAAAAAAAGGAAAGCAGTAGAGGATGAAGTGGAGGACGAGCAAATGAAAGAAGAGTAATAAGAACAGGGGGAGAGGGAGAGAGAGAGTAGAAGAAGAGAAAGACCATATAGAAGAAGAAGAAGAAGAAAACTCCTCTTGGCGAGCATTCGAGGCAAACGCCGCCCGTCGCGCTGTCGGCCGATGAAGACGGATGGTGGTTCTCCGCTAGGCGGAAGGAGGGAACGAAGGACGAGGAGGAACGAGGTGGAAACGGAACGTAGAAAGAGGACGAAGAGGACGATGAGGATTCGTGGAGGTTAAGAGTTGTCGGGTTAAGGAGAGTGAGAACGAGAAGAAGGTAGGCAAGTCAGACCAACCTAGCAGTGGTAGTAGATACTAGTGCAGTGGGCAGAGGAGAAATGAAATGAGAGGAGCAGTGAGGTTAGCCTCTGGGTACGTATTCCCTTTATACCAGGTTCCTTCGTTCCCCGCCTTTGTACCTCATGTTTGCCCCCTGCTTCCTTAACCCCCCAACTATCTCCGATCCACCTCGGCTCTTCTCCTTCGGCCATCCTCAATGCTCTGCCAGTCCGACGTCCCTGGGGCCACAGTCTCAAATTAACAACATACCAATCTCTAGCGCTCTCTTATAAGCTCGGCCTAACAATCTACAAGGTTGCCAGGGTTGCTGCCCCGGACGGAAAACATCCCTATTTCGAACGCTGATTAGGCAATCCCAAAATTCCATTGGGATTCTGTGACTCAGGGTGGGATACACCGTTCACGCCCTTATAAGACCTTACCACCCTGGGATATAAGGGCTAATCCTCACCGTCCTTTGTTACGAAAAATACTAAGTCAGGGATGCTAAATGGTATAGGGTGAGAATATACACAAAATTTCGTTTACTTTGTTTGAAAAAAATCGGTATTCCACTATTCGACAAAGTATCATTAAATGGTCAGATCTACCTATGCTGTGATATATTGACGCTTGCGTCGAATTGAGGGATGAAGTGATGATACTAATAATTAAAGATGGCAACGTTATACCGAATCAGTAGTGCGTCCGGATTCGCACGTCCCTGACACGTAACAGTCGTTCAACATCTTCGCGGTGTAATACAATGCAGTGGCTTCATCGGCGACACCAGGCCCCTGGAGATTATTGTACTGACATCAGATCTCGCATGTAAATGCGATTCATTTGTTCGCGTCGCGAGACAAGTCAACCCACGAGGAGAGTGGTGACCAACGTAGAAGATGGTGGGGAGACGCAGAGGACTTGCCAGTAGTTTAGCCCACCTATACAGGAAGTATCAAGGACAGATCGAAATGGTCACTGCTTCCTGAGGATACCGAGTACATTCACCCATCATAAATTTACAAGGCACCACGGAACGTGTGGTAGCAGCACACAGAGTACACATATTGCCAAAGTGTATCCCGGTCCACGAGACGGAAGAGTGTACGATAGTATTAAAACCAGTTCGAGTGTGGCAGGACAATAATATGTAAGAAGCACCAAACGTAACAGTACACATTAAATAAGCATCCCGTATGTCTAATAAGAATCCTAAAACGACGGAATCGCAAATCGTGACGATTCATCAACCTGATACTGGGTCTGTTAGGTAGGAAAAGCCTGAACCGCAGGGCTTATCTGTGAAAAGTTTAAGTTATCGTGAAGGATCAAGGGCCGGCATGGATCGTACGTGAGATACTTGCATTATGAGCTGCGTCTCTCGGTCCCGAGGAACGTGGGGTTAATTAAAGAGGCTGCGGCTTTCTGTGTTCGGCAGCGAGCACGAATAGCTGTGTTTCTCTGGTGGCTGCCGAGCAGCCATGCGAGAATCGCTCGAAGAAGGCCCAAGGCATGCCAGAGTAGTTGCTTCTATATAGATGCATTAGGCACGTATGCGAGAGAGATTGCCAGAGGAGAGATGGACCAGTCTAGCCAAAGTGGTCGGGGCATGCCTTTTACATCCTTAACCGGAAAGCTCGTTTTTGATCGGCGTAATGAGAATGCCAGAGACCAAGTCATAGTCCTGGTAAAAGTAGAAAACTAAAGAAAGAAAAAATTCAACGTTGATTCCAAGAGAGATATTTCAAACGTAACCCCAAAAAAAAATCACACAAGAACAATGAACAAGGATATAATAAGACAGATACAAGAACCACGTTGATGTGGGTATCACAGATATCCCAGGTATTTGAGGTTAGTCAGGAACGAGACTATGGCCGGCTAGGGTGGATTTGAAAGGAATTCATTTTTTGTTTCTTACGTTTTTTACTTTCGGTATCCTCTGAGTCATTCAAGGGTCCTGGGGAAAAGGGGTAGGGACGGCTGAAGGGATTTCGATAACAAGAAAACCTGGTTGGTCTCGGCTTATACTGTACGACGCTGCGCTCTCGCGGACGGAGGTGACTTTAAACGCGGGGCAATAAATTAACGGCGTTGGGTTACGCAAGGATCAAATGTCCCCCGGAGTATGCCAAGAGATTTATGGGTCTGCCTTCACTGGCGCAGCATGAAGGAACGAAACGGAACGGAGCAGAACAGAAGAGAACAGAAAACGTATACAACCGTCGCTTATTATAGGCTAGTTGCTCCGCTTCTCCAACTTCACCGACTGGTCTTTCAGTCCGCCGCAGGACACGCAGGACTTTTCAGATTAACAGCTAGGCGGATGTTGTAACCTGCTAATAAGGCGCGGCCGGCACTCGCAGCCCAATTAAATACGAGGTTTACATAGGCCAGCTCATGCGACCAACCTTGAAACACTAGACGATTAGATACACGTATGTCGCTAGAATTAATATCGTTCAATCGATACACGGTAAAAGACCTTGATATAGCACTGACTTTCGATTTCGATGAAAACTGCTTTTTTCTTTATCTCGCCTATGGCCGATTTGGATGTAAAGTAGTGCTCGTTAAAAATATATAAAAAAACCACGTAATTCAAATGAGAAATAATTTATTCGGAGTTTATGAAATTTGTTGGTAAACAAATATTTCTTTATTCCGTGATTACGTACATTTTTAATAATTATCAAGGGCTGTCTCGATTGCCTAATATTTCCTAGTGTTTCAGTCGCTTGCTTGAAATTCATTAAGAAGACGGAAGTCTCTCATGAGTCTTCGTGGATTCAACAGGTCACGGGTGTCCCCGAAATTTTAATGTTGTACGCGTACACTAGGTCGTTTTAATTGCTCGAGCGAGGTGAGAAAATAAAAACGTTACGAATCAAGACAGACGCGCAGTGTTATACAAGGAGGAGGTTCAAAAGAGATAAGATATTTTTTTATATTTAGTTCAAAGAAAGCATACTTCATTTTTTGCTCATGTCACTCCAAAAGTTAAACACACGATCTAACCTTCCTACACCCTTTCTAAATGTACCAAAGCAAACATATTTTTAGCGGGACGATGGGACCCTCTTTTCCTCGCACCCTCGTTCACTCAGTCACTCTCAGTCACGTGCGTTTCCGTTGGATTTACCGAATGTTAACAAATCTACCCTGACAAACTCACAGACTCATCCACAGAAACATACGCTTCCTGCTTAGCTGCATTTGAAACAACATATATATATATAGCCAGGAGTATCGAATTGCTCACTATACATGCAAAACGTCGCAAAGATCCGATAAAACTGATCGGGAGATTCAAACTTCAAAAATTCACTGTGCGAAGTAATAGAATCATTTTACTGACTTTCGAAAAAAAAAATCTTCCCCTTATACCACATTACCAAAATTTTTTGTAACACTGTTTTTTTTTTAAAATAAAACAAACTGCTAAGGAACCCCCAGTCACAACAGTCCTGATCTTAAGGGCGTAACCCTAGAGGGTTAAGAAAATGGATGAAAAGATACTTATGTGTCTTGCACACAGTTCGTTCTTTTTTTAAAGATTTTTTTTCACCTTTGTTCTCAACACGACAGACCATTCTTCAAAGCTGGTACCTAAGTGAAAGAAGAAGTCTGAGAAAGCACGGAGAGAGAAATCCGTGTAGATAATGAGCACAGAGTGGTCCAGGGCCGCAGGACGTGTAACATGGCCAGGATTTCTCATCAAATCCGAGTAAAATACCCAGAGGATCCCGAAGCCCTTATAGGATGCGCTACGCCTCGTGGTAGGGCGGCCTTCGAAAGCAAACGGACCCAGGGTTTCTGTGGATCATCCATCATCGTCATCCTCTCCTCCCGCACCAGCATCCTCATCCACCATCTTCTCATCCTAAGCCACCATCTCCTCCAGGACTTTCGCTTCATTTTCTACACGCTCCACCTCCTCCTACCCCGACGACGAAGACGACGACGTCGACCCTACCCCTCGGCCCCTCCTGCCCCCTTTTAGAATACCACCGCCGCCATCGCGCCCACAGAAAATCTTCTCCCTGGATTCGTATGCATTACTGTATAGGAATATACAGTTGCATCATTACGAATTGATGATACTTCGATTTTCATTAAATTTTATTCGATTGCTATAGTCATTCGAAAATGGCATTTTTATTTTTCACCTATATAACTTCTTCGTCACTTATCTCCGGAATTCGGGTCGTATTGATAATGTAGTAAAGACGTCATTGACAGCAGTAATTTCTTAAGGAATTATCCGTGAAATAAATAAATTGGAATTATCCAAACGTGATTGCATGACTGTCACGAAGCAAGATCAGTCAGCATTAAAATTTAAGCACGTGTATAATATTTGGCGTTTGAAAGTCTGTTATTTTCAACGTTATTCAGTGTATCATTAAAAGTTGTAAATCAGTGATATCACAACTGAAATGAGTGCGTAAATTGAGAGGGGGAAGACTTTTTTTTTTAATACTAAATCAACGACTGGATACTTTACGAAGCAAGTCCGATGACTTTTCGGTTAGAGGAGAAAAATTTTTTTTTTTTTTCACGACTACGTAACGCTTTACGTTGACTCCCGGAGAACAGAGAGCAAGAGTAATGGGTAAGCGTCAGGAGCGCGACAACCGAAAATGGAGACAACTCCATCGATCCGACGAAATTCCGAAGGGATCCTTACCGCTTTTGGCGTTCGTGCATCAAACACAAACGGCGCCGCGACATCGTGCTGCTTGACATATCACGTCTAATATTGTATTTGACCGTTTCAATTTACGGCTTAGACAGGCTAATGGATGCGAGCTCATAAAACATAAGGTCCGCGTTCACAAAAAGGCATATCCATCATGCGTGCCCGTCCCTGTCGCGGTTCTCTCAGGCTCGATTTATAACTTTTACCTACGCGGGTAAATGATCCAAGGAATTTCGTTACGCTAGCCATACGCTTCCTTTCGGAAAAACTTGGATTAAGGAACGCTAATCTCACGTCATTTCTCCAGAGCACGGGAAAGCATGCATGTCGTGCACGGCAGATATGAATTTCTTCGAGACTTCGATTCCGGACGACTTAGACGTTTTACACGTCATCGGCAGGACTTACGTCTTGATAGACTATAACATCGATAAAAAAATAACCGGCCATATACAGTTTAAATCCTAATTGAACGAACCGCCTGAACGAATAAAAAATAAAAATAATTGTCAATATTTTTGATTTCAAAGAATTCCCACGTAAAATAAATCAAAGACAAGTCTGCGCATTACGGTAATAAAGCATTGAGTAATAAGAGCATTGAGCATGATTCTAATCAAATTGTCCAAGGTGTACCGAGAATGTTTTTTTTTTCCTGATAAATTAGCGTTCTTGACACATCCGTAAGTCTGACTAAAACATAATTCACAAGGTCCACTTATGGCTCCGCCTAACTAACCAGTCATTAAATATCAACTACTATTACTACTGGTGAAATGGCGAAGGGGCAAAGATACGAGGAGACAAAGGAGTGAATTACGTGATGGTTCGTCGACATCCACGTGCCGACATCTGTGGGTGAATTCAGGGACCCAAGTCGTTTCGTTCCGCTCACGGCAGCGAAGAGCCCGTATTGCCCGCGTCATCATAAACGGGCCGCTTATCGGCCAATCGTGGCACGCGTCCGTGGGACTAGCTTCTGAGCTTTACCGAGAGATGGTACGAGCGACTTCACGAATCCTCAACTCACCTGGCGTCTTCCGCTACGGCGGGACTGCGAGCCATTTTGATTTCCCATAGGAATATACACCTATCGAGCTTGTCGGTGAAATTGTCAAATATTAATTTTAGGATTACTTCAACACTTACGTTACAACGAGGAGTAACTTAACGACTGAAGATCGAACGTAGGTTAGATATTTGACCGGAAGTGACGAACTCTTAAATTTGAAGACCTAAGAGTTTGGAATGTCAGAAGACGACTGAGGCTTTGAAAGTGACTGGAGAAGGAAAGTAAAGCGCAATATTTTCCACCTCTCCGTGCAAATCGTACTTCTTTTAGGTTAGGTAATACGGGCGCTCTATATTTCTTGGGACTTTGGTAATATAGGCCCAGGGGATGACAGAATAAGAGCACAACCAGCAGGGGGTCACAACCTGTACACTTAGCCCCTACCCTCGCACCCAATACCATCCTGTATAAGTTACGACTTGGCCTATTATCACTTCGTTATAGCCATCATAAATCCTCGGCTGGTTACGCCGGCTTTAAGACCCTGGACTTCACAGCAGCCAATCTTCCCTGTCGAGACTTCAGTGAAGTTGCCAACAGGCCCAAAGACTAGACCCATAGGGCGATCAGACATACGAAGTTGGCTAATACATTGGGTTAAGTAAATTACGTAAAATTGTCTCTCGTTAACTATAATCCATCGCAGAGAAACTGAGCCAACTGGCTCGTGACTACTCTGTGTTTAATGGCCGCCAGGATTGATGAATCTGATAATAAAACTATTGTAATGAGAAGCAGAAGAGAAGATACGACACAATCTGATAGAAATATAACCAATCTCAATTAAAAAGTGACTTTAATCACTTATCACTGTATAAATTAAATACAGGCTATAGATCATAAGATAATAAAATTTAATGAAATCTCAATATATCGTTACTCAAATTGTTTAGGTGTGATAAAAATGATTCTACTGCCGTAGAGATTAAGTCGTAAGGTATAAGCTACCAGGAATTCGGTGTCTCCAATGAATCCGTGAGTACACGTTTCCGTGAATGGCGTCGAGCAACGACGCCAAAATTAAACCTGGCATAGATACGAAAGAGCGTGACACAAGGAGTCTGTGAAAACGTTTTGCCAGATGCAGAAAGCTAGAATACCGGCATTACGGGTACGCGGTGGTTTCTGAAGGTGAGAAGAAGGTGAATCACGGAATGAGTATATGGTATTCATGTATGAAGAAAAAAAATTCAGAATGAAGTATGGATGACTTGTACGAACGACGTACCGGCTTGAGGTGAGCATAAGACTGGGCAGGTTGGGTCGACTTTGCTCAGCAGATAGAAATACGGAGGCAGCCAGCGACACGACACGAATTTTATGGGGGCCCGGTTTACGTGTGGTGAAACCGGCGGGCCAAAAGGTCGTAGCAATAAATAACTTGAATTGCTGGTATACCTAGAAATCCGGAGACGTTGTACCCTTATTACGGGCTTGCTAACCGTAAGAATCTAGTCCAGTTTCACACGTCTCTTGCATAAACCCGAAAGTCGACCTGCTTGTGACATTTAATCCTTGTACTTTGTCTACCTGGTCGTTTGTGTCGTCCAGTTACTCTTCCGGATACTAGGGACTTTTGTCATAAGCCACTTCGTGTCCACGAGAGACGTGACATTATTTTCTCAAGCTACGTATGCTACTCTTGATTCGAATATCAGGGTTCGCGTACAGTCGGTCCGCGAGTACAATGTGTTCCTTGACAATTCGCAAACGCATATCTAAGCAAATTGGCTTCTCGCAAAATTACAGACCTACATCCTAAAATAGAAAGGTACAATATATTTCACCGTAAAATCATTCCAATGCATACTTTGGAATAGAAATTGTATGCATAGACACGTGAGGCTTTCTAGAGACTAAATTATTCTTGGATGTGTCAAAAAAAAATGCTCTCATGGACTTACTATCTGTATACATATGTTACCGATAATGACTATCGTTGACACGTGTAAATGCCGAGATTCTAGATAATAACGTATGTTAATTAATGCGACTTACCAAATTGACTTCTCATCCACGGATAAAGCGGGCTGGGGAGATTTGCGCTTGCCGTGCCCTGCGGCGCACCCTGCTGTTGTTGACCAAGAGGGGAAGCTACGACGCCCTGATGCTGCTGGGCCTGTTGCTGTTGCTGAGGGTGCATCGCAGCCGCGGGCTGCTGGGCGGTTGCCTGAGTCTGTTGCTGCTGATACATCATGTGCTGTTGCTGTTGCATATGCTGGTGCTGCTGTTGCTGCTGATGCTGACTTTGCTGAGCCTGCATATGGGGATGCTGACTGTGCATTTGGTGGTGCATCTGAGGTTCGACAAGAGGCGGACTGTCGGGTCCGTCGAGCACGCTGCCCTGGTGATCGACCGCCGCCGCCTGGAGCTTGCAGCTCGCGTAGACGATCGGCGTCGATGGGTGTCCATTAGGGGTTGGCGTGTGCCCCATGTGGCCCATGCCCGTGGTAGGGGACGTCGACCTGTAACCTGCCATCCCGTCCATGCTCCCGTGCTCCTGTTGCTGCTGGTAGTAGGCCGCGTTACGGATGTCCATTCTGTCGTAGGGTGGAAACCTGGGGTAGGGCATCCCCTGCTGCCCTCCAGTGGCACCATAATGGTGTCCTGGTACTCCTTGTCTGAGTAGACTGGGGTCGCAGGGATCGGTACCCTGTTGGGGCTGCTGCTGCACGGGCTGTGTCTGCTGAGGCACCTGAACTGCAGCCCCGTAGTGCTGCTGGTGCTGATGGGGATGTTCCACCCCGCCATTACGGAGGTCCGGGATGTACGAATTCGCGAAGTATGAACTCATGCTACTGTAACTGTCACACCACACTCACGCTCCTCCGCGTCTGGCTCGATTTTTGTACTCTTATCCCGTTTACTTTATCCAACCCTCCTCTTTTGCACCTTGTACCACCGACTTCAAACTTTTCACCGCCCTCTCTCTCTCGCCCTTTTATTTTACCTACCTTTCACAATCTAAGGTCGCGTTATTCAACACGCTTAATCACTGGTAATCACTATCACTCCCCCGATCACCTGCTCATTCGGAAACCCTTAAAACCTTCTAGTTACACTCTCTACCATTCAACCCTTAATTTCGAATTCCCGCCTCTTTCTTCTATTCACAAAGTTTCTTTTTTTTTTGAACACCCCCCCAGGACTCTATATCCACCTGTCACCTCGCGTATGCTTTTTCCTCTTTAACTACTTTCTATACCAAGCACTTCTCGAACGACCCTATATCACACTAGCTTGGATCACTTTATCATTTGATTTATCACACTGGGTCACCCACCGAATGGAGTACAGAACGGAACACTGTAGAACCTCGATTTAGCAGCCAAGCGAAGATAGAAACGAAGTGCACGAGGGGTTGTCGCGCTGATCTAGGGTGAATATATTTCTTCACTCGGTACGAGATACTCGTTTCCAAAACGTCGTGCCACTCCGGACGCGTTCTTCTCTTCTGTCCGACTCGACGATGACGCTACGCCGCACCTGTAACACCAAAGAACACGAGACCACTGTTTAAGCTGCTTGGTATTAAAGTCTAATTAAGCGGCAGCGCAGAAAAGCGCGTCGCGACGACTAATTGGCCAGCGTCGCACGCTCTCTCTCCTAGCGCGAAACTTGACTTTGCCGAACTTTGTACCACCAAACGAATGACTAAACTCGGCCAGGGACTGAGTGACAGACGCCGAGGTACACACGTGCTCGTCACGGTGACGGCCATCGCCCAGACGTTAACGTGCAACGGCCTTCTGTGTGGGCGGGCTAAGCGATCGTTAAATTTGGAAAAAATCTCACAGCATGGCCACCGACTATTTCTTTTACTTCTGTTTCGTAATGCGGCTTTCAGCCTCTTTTTTTTTTTCATTTTTAATTTATGTTCTACCTTATTAAAAACTTATTATCACGTGCACGTCCAACATCCTGCAATCTTACAAGTTTATGTCTCTGACTGAAGTCACGAGTCACTGAAAAACCAACATTCTACTTTTTGTTCCTATTATAGTTAAATTTTTATAAAATTTATTATCTCAGAAATATTGATGTTTATACTGTCCAATGATCCTATCATATTTTTTTACCGTAATACAAATGTCCCGCAACATTCCAGGAAACGCGTTAAAGACCGATTAATCAGTTTTAATTATTTCATTAAAAAAAAAAAGGTCTACGAACGACTTCATCTTTTTGCATAATGAATATATAATAGACCCAGACATTTAATCGACTCCCATTTCTGCACTTATCCCAATATTGTTCATTGCGCGATTCGTGTTTATTTACAGCATCAGTTATATCTGCCTACCTTAATCTGTCAGCACTGTAACGAGTGCAACACTCAACTAGATTTAACTGGACGCGAAACATCTGTCCAATTTGTGATACAAGCATAAACGTCTGATATCACAGCAGCGTGACAAGACTCGACGACTTTTCATTTATTGTACAGGAAATAAAAATATGACGTTATTATTACAAAATTAACATTTTGTCAAAACCCCATGAAGCACTCAAAATAACAATTCATATAAAAATTAATAATTTGTATCGACTGTCCTTTGTTTCTAATAAAACTTTTCCATCCTCAGAATCGAGTTCTCCTGTAAGGACTACCTGCACTACCTGCGTGTATGTCGGGTGAGCATTATTGCAGGGGCACTAGGACAGAACTACATCCTATATTTTACAGGCAAGCTACACAGTACATTAGTCAGTCTTCGAATCCCTTTCTGTTCGATATCTTAAGTAAGACGTTATCGTTCCTTTGTAAATCTCAACTGGAGTCCTACGAGCTCCTAATAAACTGCACGGTGCGTCATTGTCATTAATGCACAGGGTGGAACGGTTCGTTAGCGCTGATATGCAAATGTAGTCAAAGAGCAATGCATGCACTGTGAGACACACCTAGAACTATCTCTCTCTCGCTCTCTCGCATAGATCTTATATTCTCAGTAGATACCCTACTATCTCTCTGAAACATAATACTCATGATTATAGAACGTTGTCACTTGTTATCAAATGTTCTTGTTTCTTGGTTATCACATAAATTTATGAAAAAGTACATTTTCGTGTAATTTGGATTATGAAATATCGGCACGAATTGATTGGTTTAATAGCAAAATTTTAATTAATAATTATTTCAGAGTGTTTAAGCTTCGGGGAATGCAGGTGAAGGAGATAAAAAAGTGGGTGGGAAAGAAAAACGAAGATCTTGTGGATATATCCCAGTGTATATATATATACATATAGTTAACTGTAGTTCAACCGGGGGATGTGTTTTTGGAATGGGGTTGTAGAGAGAGACAGAGAGAGATAGAAACGTGGGGATTTTAGGGGTTGGACTCCAGGGAGTTCGCAGCACACGAGGAAGCGCTTGGGTCGGATGCGGGACGATCGCGATTAACATTCCGCCCGCTAGCTCGCTGTTCGCGCGGCGCTTTCATTAATTCCAGCGTATTGATTCCCCAGATTGATGAATGGCCGCCGATAGCGATTCTATGCGCTCCGGTCTACGTATAAATTCTGCCTGCGCGAACGTTTGAACTCAATTGTACGGCGAGTTCGCAGCCGCCTCGATAGCCGCCCCTTCCATCCTGCCAATATCTAAGCGACGTACACCCCGGAGGGTTTCGAGACCCTGATGGCTGACTTTCTGAGAAACACAAGGGGGAATATCTTGGAATAGGAAATCTTGTCTATCTCTGGTACGAATTTAATTTCTCCGTGAGAACCGACGAGTGCCGCTCTTGTTCTCTTGGAACTGGGATAAAATTGTTCACCCGGGAGATTCCTAAGAATTTTCGGCTTGCGAATTGCCTCTCAGAATGTTTCTTGGTAATGGGTTCTTCTTGTTGGCGAAACATCGAGCGAGATATTTTTATCAAGGAGTTAACGTGCCTAAGACTATTTTCAGGATGGACTATTAATAGTCGATGCGATTTAAAGAATTTTTATTTCGACACAACTTTCCTTTGTTTCACACGAAATTTTTGAAAAGCTTGGCAACGCAATGTTGTGCAAATATTTTTCGAATTTTCGGTATCACTTCGAGAGACACCCGGTATATGAGACCTTGCTGTGTAGCGACATCGACCGGAAAAGTATTAAACTAGCTAACCATTTGAGGGATTAAGACGTTCGCAGCTCGTCCGGCAGATGGCGATAGCGATAGCTTCGAAAGAAGGGAAAAAACGGGGTGGAGCGTGCCTGACAACTGGGTGGGTTCGGGGCCAAGGTGATTGAAAGGAGGGTGGAGCGACACGTGACGCCATCGCTGGATATGGAAGATGACGTCACGCAGCTATGATGGCCTCTATTTATCAAAATGGCTTCGAGGCGGCCTCTTTGTTTCTCATGCTCCGGCGTAGCTTCTCAGCTGCTTATCTTATCGACTGATGAATCTCGATTACAGCCAACCCGTGCAAAAGATCACTCCTAGCGCCGCGTTCCTCTTAATCGCATATGAAAAAAAAATCAACATCCCCTAAACCTACGATAAACAATTAATTAATAAACGCTATCACGTACGAATTAATCATTAATTATACTATCAGTATAAATTACACAATTAGTTAATACACAGCTAAAACGTACGATATTTCCCCCGTTAATCCTGTTATCACAATTACACGATATAAGCACCCGATAATCAAGATTATCTCTACCACCTATTTACACATTTTTCGCCTTATTTCAGCCACGATGTATACATTGTTCGTAACAATATGATTTAATACGCCATCCCAAAGTGATCCAAAGTAATATAACTGATAATTAAAATAGCATACGATTCGCGCATGTTTAGAGTAACAAGTGCCGATAAGACAAGTGCCGATAATTAAGGAAAATGAGGTCGTCCCACGTATAATGCGGAGCAGTAAAAGAGTGTAAGACGGGGCAGAATGATTAAGTGTTATCGAGTAACGGGACGTAAATATTTGCACAATAATATTTAGCCGTGCCGAATACCGCATCGTTAGTCAAGTCCCAAGCCACTGTGAAAAGGGAATCGTAACACGGTCGCTCGTACCTGCAACAACGTAGGAGGCTTTTGTGAATGGGGCGCAAAGAGCAAGTTGTAAATCACAGAGCAGCTAAGACCAGACTGTATGATTATCCATAACGACCGTGTAAATAGTATAGCCATACGTATAGGATATAACTATAGGCACACGATAATTATACCATTTTAGCGTTTTCACATTTACCATACATATGTACCTATGTACTTCTCAGTATAAATTAACCAATAGTTTAACATACATTTATGCCTTCGATTAGCTTGCAACAATTTACATACTAATCATGCTAATGGAGGTAGATATCTGTGACCATAATGATCAATGAGCAAATTGAATGGATATTAAAACAGTGTGACAGTAAGAGGGCAATACCAGGAGCCAGAAGGAAGTTCTCAGCTGATACTGTACGGTACCAAGGTGCGACTGTATGTATAGCCGATGGTGAATGATCCCAAGAGGCAAGATAAACGGCCCAATGTCGCAGACAGATGGGCCTCCGATGACTATTGGGCCATAAATGGCACTTGGACGTGACAGTTATGGGACGCGAAGCTCGTGCCAGGCCCGTTGGCACGCCGTAAAATAGTCATAAACTGAACACACTGTAAAGCAAAACAGACGAACGAGCCATATTTAACAACGACGAGAGGGTAAAAAAGTTGGCTGAGTTTGAGCTTCTTGTACATTATAGTCAATTTGCGTATAGCCGTATATATAGATATACATGCCGAGTGATGTTAGAGCGTACACACAGAATCTAAATCTACTTTTTAGTCAATGGTTTCTCTCTGATGCATACGAGAGCTTGTCGACGTATCGAAGCCCAAGAGTAGCTTCCGCCGATACAGTCCATTCGGTATAACAGCTACTGTTATCGCGTAGGAAAAAAATAAGACACGGACCCCATAAACCAGCTTGAAACCACTTCTGCGAAGTGTGCCACGGGAAGAAGGTTACGGGCACACTTCCTAGGCAGAGAATAAATTATCAGTGAACGCGAGCGAAGTTATTCCAGGTGAAAGGTCGTGTCGCGGCAGTCCCATAGGAACTGTGAAATTACTGACAGCGACATTAAAAGTCGCCTTGATGTGTATCTGGAGTTTGCATGTAAATTCGTGCGAAAAGAATTACTTCGGGTATCTAGTCCTGTACAGTATTACAGTTACGTTGTACCGAGTATGGTTAAATCCTGGGTATCTGAATATGAGTCCCATGTTAAGTAAGAAGTCTCGACCCTGATTTCGTTTTAAGCGCACTCTGTAGTATAGCCCAATAGGAAAATACGTAGGCATGCTCGGTTTCAGATAGGTATATATCGGCAAACACGAACCACACACATTGCCAGTGATCAACCGAATGCTAACATGCATATGCGATCAGCATAATCGAGTCGAGCGTGGGGAACCAGTTTGCAAGGACGCTCAAAAGCGACCGCCGATGGCTCATGCCGCGGCTGGCACGCTCGAT